GCATGTTTCAGGGATTAAAGTTAGATCATTATGCTTGGTCCCAGGCACCTTTACCAGTTGAACCATCGTAGCTGCCACAAAGATTAATTTTCAAAATAACAAGCTAAAGTGTGTGATGCTCATCTACCCAGTTCAGGTGTTTTATGAGCCCATTATGAGTATTACCTACATGCCTATAGTGTTCTCACAGGAGAGGCGCTATAGCATCAGCCCCTTTGTGTAAATGAACACGAAATTGGAGGATAGAGTAGTTTAATAGCTTGCCAGTAGCTTAGCTATTAGCAGATACAATGTTGATGAAATGTTTTTTCCTTGAAAGTGTGTGTGTGTGTGTGTGTGTGTGTGTGTGTGTTTTGTAGTAGTAGTAGTGGTGGTAGTAGGGACTTGGGGTATAACTTAGTGAGAGGATACTTGCCTCACATATGGAATTTCCTGTGTTTCATTCCCAGCTCACAAAATAAACCCAGAGCAAATGTATGAATTGGAAATGGTAATAAAGTAGTCTTTTAAATTATTTTTATGTGTATTGGTGTTTTGCCCATATGTACGTCTGCACCATGTGGGTGCCTGGTGCCTGCCGAAACAGGGCTAGTGTTCTTAACCACTAAGCTATCTCTCCCAGCAACCAACAAAATAGTCTTGATAAAATTTAGGGAGAATGTAATTTTCTTTGTTTTATTTTTCTAAACAGGGTTTGTCTGTGTAGGCCTGACTGTCCTGTAGACCAGGCTGGCCTTGAACTGGTAGATCTACTTGTTTCTGCCTCCTGAGTGTTGGGATTAAAGGCATGCATAACTACTGCCCGGCTGGAAGAGTACATTTTAAAGTAATGTCCCCATGCTATAGTGTTGCAGAAATGGCTAGTACTACATATTAGAGCTTGCTTGAATCATTTGACTGTGATGTTGACTAACAGGCTAATATATGCTTTAAAACAGTGTTGGTTCTAACTTGTCCTGTGGGCTAGAACTATAAAGTTTCAAGCCTACCTTTAAATTATGTATTTACTCCTATCATATTTTCTAAGGATGAAAATTTCACAGGGAGTCTTACCATTTACCACTAATTTTACTTTTTTTCTTTTTATGAAATAGAGTCTCATCTGCTTTTCTGCAAGAGCTACTAAACCGGTGGTCCTGCATCCCCCTCCCCAGTGCGGGAGTTTGTAGGCTCACACCACCAAGTACTTACTGTATCCAGTTCTTCTTGTTCATTTATAATTGTGAGAAAATATATCTCAAATAATACAGCTTTAATATTTAAATAATTTATTAGAACTTGCTCTTTCCATTTTTCTTTTTATTGCATCATATGTCTCTCTGGTTGTGTGTGTGTGTGTGTGTGTTTGTGTGTGTGCACGCCTGCACACCTGTTCTGTATCTGCACTGCAGCATGCATACAGAGGTTAAAGGATAACTTGTGGGAGTTGGTTCCCTCTTTCCTCCATTTGGGTCCTAGTGGTTGAACTCAAGCTTTTGGCAGCAAATTCTTGTCCCTCCTACATCTTCTGGTTAGCCTAAGACATACCTTTCCCTCCTATGTAGCAAACTACTTTACATTAAGCCTAAGATCTGTTTACTCACCATTTGCCAGAGCTCATCACAAACATGTCTCTGCTCATAACCCAAACCTTAAAATAGAGGAGATAATCTATTAATAGGTAGATTAAACCAGAGGTAGAAATTTGGTCTTAAGATTTTTTAAAGTGACAGCCTAGTCTGTTTAGGAAATACTGAGTTTCGTTTATTTGTCTTGAATCTGAACACTGCCTGAGGTACTTGCTTCTGTTTTTTATGGCTCTTTGATATATTAAGTTCATGAGGCATAATTTTTTTTAAATCTTAGGCAGTTGTTTAAAAGTAATTTAGGTTTACTTTAATAATTGTTGAGTATATTTTTAGTTTGTTAGTGTTTGGATCCAGTTATAAAATAATTATCCTTCAATTCGAGTTTGTACCCTAGAGTGTTAGGATTTCTTCCATTTACATTCACAGACCAGCCGTCAGAGCAGTGTGGTATTGCCTGGCTGTATATATGTGATCCAGTCCCAGGAACCATGGTGTTCTCTTTGGGCTGTTGACAATAAAGATAATTTTGGAGGGACAACAGAGTGTTTGGTTTGTCACCCAGGCTGGCCTTGGGCTCTCAGATGCTCCTGTCTTTACCTGACAGTGATATGTGTCTTAGCAGAAGTCAGTATGGACCAGGTTACAGGCATTAATGTACAGCACGAAAGTACCTTCCTATCCAGCAAAGTTAATACTCACACTTTCTCTTTTGAAAATTCATTTTCCGTTTTGAGGCAAGATCTTCCTATGTAGCCTCATTTGTAATCTTCCTGCCTCAGCTCCGGAAATAAACAAAATTTTTAAAAAACTAGACTTTGCTAGTTTAGAATAGGCTAATGGTAGTTTTATTTATTGGTTTTGCTCATGGCTATTAGGCAGGTCAGTCATTGCACTGTCCTGCCTTTTGTCTTGATGTTTCTATAGTGGTCTTACTGGCTGAAGGTGATAAGAAAACACCACCTCTAAATTTGAAGCTGTCAAGGAGAAATATGAAACTCTTGGCAGCAGCAGGGTCACCTCCTTTCAAAAATTATTTCTAGTAAGAGTTAGATCTGCCTGGGCAGTGGCTGTGCACACCTTTAATCTGTACATTCAGGAGGCAGAAACAGCCTTTACTGGTCTACATAGTGAGTTCCAGGACAGCCAAGGAGAAACCCTGTCTTAAATAACAACAACAACAACAACAACAACAACAAAAGAGTTGGATCTCTTGAGAAACTCAGAACTGAAAAGGTATTCCTGATAATAAATTATAGAACAGAGATGACAGCAGAGGAAAAAAAGGGCGGGCCTACAGGTTGGGTGTGCTCTACTATGCAGGTGCTAAGGCCCCGCCCCCACCCCTCCTCCCTACCCACCTGTCCCTGCTACATGCAGATCTCTCTTCTGCTATCAAGAAACCTCTTCAAAGTAAACTTTCTTCCTCCTCGTAATTTTCTGTATGCTTAGTTAACCTTTTAAAAATTGTGTCTCAAAAGTAGAACAGTTCCATGGAAAGAGCTTTTTTATATAGTATCTGAGGCTTGTTATTGGTACCCTGTAATGTTGATGTGTCTCCAATTTTCTTGTTCTTGCTTATTTTATAAGTAGATAATATTCCTAAATGATTGCTTTTTGGAGAGGCAAAATCACTTTTCAAAACTGTTTCCTTCTACAGTTGCATCCACGCATATGCGATAGCACACATGTAAGAGTCAGGATGACTTGCAAAAGTCAGTGTTCCTTTCACTATGTGAGTCACAGGAATGGAACTCATGTCCCCAGGCTTGGTTGCTTCACCCTTACCCACTGAGCTATCCCTCAGTCCAAGAGTGTCTGTCATATAGTTTAGTTTATTGTGTTTTCAGTCTCCATGCTGTTAAATACATAGGAAGTATCCAGTGTTAAAGTTCACTTATCTTTCACTCTGGACTAGGCGAGATAATATATAAATTATACATTGTGGTTTGTGTGTTTGTGTGTGTGTTGCACATGTGAATATCATGTAGAATCACTTGTAGGAGTCAGTTTTTTTCCATTTTGTGGATCCCAGGATTAGAACTCAAGTCATAAAGTTTGGTTGCAAGAGTCATTATCAGGTATTTTGTCTGCTCAATTATTAAACAGGACTTCATAGTATAAACTTAACTGACTCTTTATGTATGTCCTTAAGAAGAGAAAAAAATAGAAAGGTTTATACATTAAATATGAACTAAAAAGTACATTGGGACAATGGAAAGTCAGGGTTCTGGATCTTAGAAACCACTATTAAGGATTATAAAATTACAGCCTTATTGTGTACTGAATAAATTATCTAAATGCCACAATACACTGATGCTCGAGATAGGAGTTGGCCAGAAATAATTTATTCTTTAGACATGTGCTTTGTCATAACTGACATCATCAATCTACTCTGAGCTGTCACCTGCGTCACCAGGCCCTGCGTTTCTTCTTCTGTCATCTTGCTTCTTTATATTAGAAATACTGCTGTCCTTGGAAGTTGTTTTCAAGAGATTTATTCTAAAATGATTATGCTTTGGTTTTGGTTATGAGAAAGAATAAGTTTATGATTCTGTTTATTCTGAGAATAATTTCAGGGTATTAAAAGGTTTCTGTTAGCTACAGTATTTTGTGTACAAGAGACTTGTTTCCAAAATGGCACATCTTAAGGTTATGATATTCTTGGAAAGTGGGAACCTATACATATCAAAGAAGGCATTTTGATTACATTGGATTACGCAACCCTTTGACCAGCCTCCTTAACTGTGTAAGGGTTCACCTGGGCTTGTTTGGCACAGGTCCCAGTAAGAGGCCTTCGGACTTGTAGTTAGCAACAAGAGGGAGTCACAGTCTGGAGGAGCTCTTCAGTCAGTAGACCTGGCTTTCTGCCAGAGAGACAGGACCTTATATGGGGTCAGGGCAAAGCTGTGATTGGTTGGGCTTTGCATCGTATAGAAAGTATACTTGTGATGCCTGTTTGCTTTCTTTCAAGATAAAACAATGGCACAAGCAACAGGCTTCTGAGTCTCTCAAAATAGGAAGTATCAAAACACTGTGGTTTTTCTGATGTTAAGCAATGGCAAACATGGCTTTGAGCAGTCAAAATAGTAGAAGTAGAAGTTAAACCTTTGACATTCTTAGCCAGCTTGTGATGTTGAGAGACACAGCATTTGTTAAACATCTGTTGTCTACCTGCCTGATTTTTCTAAATGGTTTAACGAGATTAAAGAATTAGTTCTAAGTTCACATAGTTACAGTGTAAGTAGATTCACAGAATGAGCCACTCCTTAGAAACACTGTAGTTTTCAAAATTTGCTATTAGATGTTAAAGCCTTTACCTTGCAGGTGGGCGTTTGTGCTTGCCTTCTGAGTGAGAGCACAGCTGAGGCTGGGAGGGAAGCCATCGGCAGGCACGTCCATCTGATCACTAACTTTGTGCTTCTTCTCGTTTAGGCAAATCCCGTTTCTGGATCCTCTCTTAGTCAGGCACCAGCCCATATGTATGGCAGTAGATTAAATCAAAATCCATCCATGGCAGTTCTTATAGCTCAGTCTGAAAGCAGCCAAACAGGTAAAGCCCTTCCCTGGTGTGAATCCTCTCTGTATTAGGTCATTTTCATAAAATGAAAGGAAGGAAAGAAGGAAGGAAGCAAAGGCAGCCACCTAGGGATGTGATTAGTAGATGATTTTGGTTTTATTTTTGTTTTTCTTTTTTTGAAAAACGAAGAGAATTACATTTGGAAGTATGTAAATGTTATCCTGTAAAACAGTGCTGTGTTTTTTTTTTACTCTCTGAAGTGCAGATATTTAAGCTGAGCCTTCAGCAGGCAGGAGTGGCACAGTGTCTTTTCTAACAGATTTGTTCAGTCCTCGATTCTATACAATGAAAGCAACATAGCATTGGGTTTACCATGAACAGTCCAAACCTTTATTTTCATAATTCATAAAATTGAATTACCTGAACTTGGTTTAAAAATATCCTTCTTAGAGAATTTCTGCAGTGTTTAGTAATTTGTGTGTCTTTTTAGACCAGTTAACATTTGTTGCGTTTGCCTCTTGTACGGTTTTAATTACCTGTTGATTAGTGTTTTTCTCCTTCCGTCCTTACGGATCTGTTGACATGTCCACTTACTCCTGGCTGTCTCAGGGAAGGAATGGCTTTAGCAGTTCAACAAGAAGGGATCACTCATCATACCCTTACCCTTCAAGGGTCAGTGACTCCCTGACTTAGAGTAAGGGGAGTCCAATCCTGAGAGAGGACAGACAGACTGGAAAGGGCCGTGAGGGTGGAATACAGCTGCTTAAGACTTGATGATCTCCGACTATAGTAGAGTTCTCAAGGTGAACAGTTTGCATTTAATGCAGATATCTAGATTTTTTAATTGTTTTTGCCAATTTGCAAACATGTTACGTATTTATTGGTGTGGTGAGTTACTTAACAGTTTTAGTCTTGGTGTATCAGTGTATTTCGTGACTTGTGTTGGGATACAAAGTGTTAAAAATTACAGGCCATGAGGATTCGCTGTGATAGGGATACAGCTGAGTTGTCTGCAGCTGCAGTCCGTTACTTTAACCATAGAAATTAAAAGTGGCAGAGGGGAGAGCGCTGCAAATTCAAACCATGCTTCTGTGCTGTAAAGCTGAAAGGCGCAAGGGAGGAGCACATAGTCCATGGCCTTCTACAGTGTGCACAGACAGTGTTGTACATGCCACACAGATCAACAGCTCTCAACTAGCAACGTGGCAGGCAAGCTTTCCTCTTTCATAGCTGGAAAGACTCTGGCACAGGCTTGATAGGTATTTTAGGAAAACCTAAAATAAAAATGTGCTCCTTAAGGAAAATTCAGAGCAGAAGCTTAAAACTTGGTATCTCTAGTAAGAGAGTCAGTCCTATTATCAACTCTGGAATATTTACACTGCAGAACAAGATCTTGGAGACAATGCCCGAAGCCTGGTTGGTCGAGGAAGCTCACCCCGAGGAAGCCTCTCTCCAAGGTAAGGATTGTTATTACTGGGAAGCATAGGCAAGAAACACCTTGAGATTGGAAACTTTGTTATCTTGAGTAGGAAAGTGTATATTTGTTGAGGCTATAAAAGCATTTTGTAGATAAGAAGCCTGTCTAGACAAGAAAATTGATTCTAAATTAATTGAAATGTTAATTTTAAACACATTGTTAGATTTCTAAGCTAAAAGGAATACATTTTCATGTGTTTCTAATCAGTTTGAACCATTTATCATTTGTATATTTAGCTTGTGGGATGATTAATGCATTGACTTGGTGATTATTTTTTGCTTATAAAATACCGATGCCTTAAGATACAGACCAAGACTGTCGCTCTGGAGGTTCAGCTCTGGCTACTTCTCTAGTTGCTGCTTCACAGATGAAGCTTCCTAAAATCCCTGTAGGTTTTTTTTTTTTTTTTTTTTTTTTTAGGTTGTTGGAAGCAGAGTATATCCAATGTATTATGTGTGTTTTTAGGTCTTTTATGATATGTGGGGAGCATCCACTACTGTGTAATTAATCAAGGTGGCTTATGGGTCTGTTGTGGATGTGGAACAGATGTCAGTTTATAAGAACACATGGAATTTAGTGATGTCTGTCTTTATTCCATTTTCAGCTTTGGCATCCTTCTCTAGTCTGTTTTCTCCAGCTTTATAAACTCTCCCTCCTCTTGAGTTGGGTGGGAAGAGGACATGTCTGGGTGGTCCTTGGTCCTCATGTCAGGGAGGAGTTCCACTGAAAAGGGGAGCTTGTCATATTCTGTCTGACAAAAGGGATCTTAGTGCTGCTCACTCAGTTGGGGAATTTTCCTTAAGGTGCACATTTTTATTATTAATTAATTAATTAATTAATTTAAAGGCTGGGTTTCTCTATATAGCAGTGGGTGTCTTGGAATTTGCTCTGTAGACTAGGCTGGCCTCGAACTCAAGAGATTTCCCCCTCCATAGTGCTGGAATTAAAAGTGTGAACCACCACTACCCAGTGAGCACATTGTTTACTGTTGTAGGGACTGTCCAGTAACCTCATCTATTTCCCAAGGGGGTATAGACGTATACCTTTCCTCATATAATTCCTGTAATATAATTATGTAAAAGTAATGTGTTTTTTCTTATTAAATTCTGGAGGAAGTATTCCTCATTTGGAAACGAGGAATCTGAAGTACAGAATGAGAAGATTATCCTACTGTATTGTATTTCTATACTGTGTATGGTTCTCTTTCCAATGAGAAAGTTAATGGAGTCTTCCTCATGTTTAGTAGAGGAAGAATTTCCTTGTCCCAGCTTTAAAGTTACTTCATCACACACGTTATCTAAAATGGATTCAGAATCCGTTTGTGCAATTTTGCTTAGTAAATTTTTATTTTAAACAGACCATAATATTATGAATGGTACTACATTATTTTTAGTGTACATTTAAGTGTTACGTTATTCTTTTAAAATGATCCCAAAGTGGAATGGTCCTACTGAGTTCAACGTACTGTATTTGGAAAGTAGTGGCCAACTCATGATGCTTGCATGTAGAATGCCTTACTGCTTGAAGTCTCTAAGAAACTGAGTGTGTGTGTGTGTGTGTGTGTGTGTGTATAAGTGTATGTAAAAACAAGGTTTCTGCCAGGACCAGACCTTTAGTTCATTGCTAGAAGACCATTGTTTTCCAACTTGAGTGACATAGAAGCCTTTAACTGACTAAACCAACTTTCAGAATTTCTGTCCTGGTCCTTATGTGGCATCCCCTTCCCAAATCCCCAGATCTCCCTTTTCTTCATTGTTAAATTGACATCATTGTATAAAAATACTTAGGATACTAATGTTCTTTACTGGTGCATTAAGATAGAATGGAGACCAGAGACAAATATGGCCCCATTTACTAATGGAAAAGTAAAACTGGACATATGAATAGAACATGTTCACTTTTCTCTGTTTTAGAAAGGTTAAGATCTGTTTGAAGAATGAATCTATGACGTTACAAAAAGCTTGTATAATCTACATTCTACACAGATAAATTACTTTGGATTGATAGAACTGAAATAGATTTTTACTTTTAATTAAAAATCATTAAATTTTTCTTTTTATTGGACTTTAAGATTCAAATGGCCTCCACAGTGTTACATTTGTAGTGTTATTCTGATAGCATGTACATTAAGACATAGTGGTAGAATTTCATTTTAATGTGTATATGTACTTTGCCTACATGTATGTCACTTGTGTGCATCCTATGAAGACTAGTGCTCAAGGAAGCCAGAAGAGGGCATCAGAGCCCCAGGAATTTGAGCTGCAGAGAGAGTTGTGAGCCATCTCCTGGGTTCTAGGCGCTAAACCTGGGCCTCTGCAAGAGCATGGAGTACTCTCAACCCCTGGGTCATGTCTTCAACCCCTTTCTCCTTTCCTCTGTTTTAAAGCTCTTCTAATGTCTGGTTTCCCTGAGTCTTATAAAGAAAGCCATACTGTTTGTTCACAGCCTATTCAAAGAACTTTGATCATTTGTTTTCTAGTGGTTTTTAAGTATTTACTATGTTCAGCTATTTTATTTTATAATTTAGTGAATAAGAATGATAATGACTCAATTATGATTTTATTGATTCCTCTGCCATAGGCCACTTGGTGCTAGAAAATGTATACAGGAAACTGGGCTCTTAGCACGGTGCAGGAGATTGATGTGCTGCCACTTAGATGCATTTCCTTCTTTTTAACTTGAGAATAAATGTTTTTGACAGATCCCCTGTGAGCAACTTACAGATTCGATATGATCAACCAAGCAATAGTAGTTTGGAAAATCTGCCTCCAGTAGCAGCAAGTATTGAACAACTCTTGGAGAGGCAGTGGAGTGAAGGACAGCAGTTTTTATTAGAACAGGGTACTCCTAGTGACAGTAAGTATTCATTTTTTTGTGTCTAAAATGGATACTTGGAAGTGGGCAGTGGTGTTGCATGCCTTTAATCCCAACACTCAGGAGGCAGAAGCAAGCAGATCTCTGAGTTAGAGGTCAGTCTGATCTACAAATCAAGTTCCAGAGAAGTTGGAGCTGCACAGAGAAACTGTGCCCTGAAAAATACAAACAATAAAATATAGAAAAACTGTTTACCCAAAATAATGACATTACATCATACACTATATGTAATTAGAGAAGATATGCACCATAGTTGGTCAGAGTTAACTCTTGTAGTGTTTACTCCAAATTTGTCTTTGTCTTTAAGAGTATCTCCAGCAAGTTTTGCTGTTTGTTGGTTGGTTGTTCAAGTTCTGTAGTGTCTTGTGAACTTGAGAATAAGCCTGTCCCCTTTCCTAGAGTTGGTATGAAGATAAATGACATGAAAGCTTGCCTTCAAGTCTTCTTATCTGGTTACTAGTTGAAATAAACAGCTGCTGCTGTTCTCTGTCCTACTAGACTTTGCTCTTTCAACTCGTGAGAACACATGGTCTCTCCTCTCAGCTCAGGACTTAAAGGTTCCCATGCCCAGAGATCTTAAAAAAAAAAAATGTATCTAGCCAGGTATAGCTAGGTATCAGGCTTTATAATTTGAAGGAAGAGTAATTAGGCACACATAATGATACCTGTTTCTAATTCTGCCACTTAACAGGTAGAAGCAGGTGGCACACATCTTTAATCCCAGCACTTGGAAGGCAGAGGCAGGCTCTTGTGAGATTGAGGCCAGCCTGGTCTACATAGAGAATTCCAGAAGAGCCAGGGCTATTTATTTAGATCCTGTTCTTGCAAAAGGAATAGTAATTAGTAAATTTTATATTTAATCAGAATGTTAATCCTATTTATGAAATTATATGGTATATTTTGTATATACACATTTAGTATTAATACCAATGGGAGTGGGAGCGCCAACACAATGCCAAAACAGTACAGTTGGAGCAGGTTAAGGAGAAGAATAGATGGTTTTTATCATTTTGGTGTGGAAACGTTCAGTGCTTTATTTTTATATTATTTTGTATTTTTAAATAACTTGGCTTTTAAAAAAAATTGCTAGTAAGCTAAGTGCCTTGAATTGATCCTTTTATGGACAGTACCCCTACTCAAAACTGTTGAATGTGGGGATACTGATGTGGGCATCACCTTTTAAACAGGATATGTAGAGAGCAGACTAGACTATCATTTCTCATCTGGCACCGTAAGTCTTGTAATGCTGGAGGGTCTTTGGACAGCCCTGAGGTCATGTTAGCAAATATGACTTTTTAATAACTGGAGTTTTTCAAATGTCCATCACCGTGGCCTAACAACAGTGTTCTTGATTGGCAGTTGAAAAGTCCAAGCCTTGGAAGAATTAACACAGTATCTTAGGTGATCAGGCAGGGCCAAAAGCTTGTTAACAGATGAGGAGGCTTCTCCTCCTCCAGAGAGAAGTAGCAGGGTATAGATACAGCGCTCCCTGCTGGGGAGCCTGCAGAGAGACATGTTGAGTAGCTGCCATTGGCAGGCTTTCTGCCAGGTGTGTGGCCGCATGCTTGGTTGCTGCTGCTGCTGCTGTTGTTGTTTTGGGTCCTTGTGCATGCCAAGTGCATGCATGCTCTCCCATAGACTGGATCTCCCAGCTCCTGCATGTTTAAACAGTACAACTAAGAAAATGTGCCCTTATTTGAGGTAAAGCATATTGGTGTTAATTTTCCTATTGTAACTCTTAGCTATTGTCATTATTATTTTTTTTTATAAAAAATCTTGAAAAGTACTTTGACATTTTAATTAAATTTTATTTTGAGGAAAATAAAGAGCCATCATTTTCCTTTGAGGATAGAAAGTACTTGAACCTGATTGGGGTTGGGTGGGTGGGTTACTGTTTATTTCAGACAGACAGACAGACACACACACACACACACACACACACACACACACACACACACACACAGAGCAAAGCTTCCATGTGATACCTCTAGGTACAGTCTGCCTTGTATATACACTCAATATAACATGATGTTTGTATCTACATTCAGATTTAGGAATAAACCCCAGTCATGTTAGTATTAACCTACAAAATTTCCACATGTTTAATTTAAGTCTCAAGGAATTTACGCTATGACCATAAAATAGTCAGTCATGGGAGTGGAGTCGTCTTTACTTAAAAAAAAAATCACACAAATATTTGCCAGTTTTAGGAATGTTAAAGTCATTACATCAACTTCAAGTTGAAAATCGAAGATTAGAAGAACAGATTAAAAATTTGACTGCCAAAAAAGAACGTCTTCAGTTGTTGAACGCGCACCTTTCAGTGCCTTTCCCAGCGATAACAACAAACCCCAGTCCGTGTCATCAGACCCACACGTACACAGCACAGACCGGTGAGTAAGACTCTTAATGTCATGTGCACAGTCGACAGTAACTGGTTACCAGTTACATGAAGAAGATGGTAAGTTATTTCTGAGAGACAGAGACAGCCCTAGTAATTCCCTTGAATTAGTTTTCACTTCAATGGATAGTTTAATGGTAAAAGTTATTTAAATGTAAGATTTCATTATTGAAATACAGCTACAATATTCAACACAAAGACACCCCCCCCCTTAAATATGTGTTAGGGGTAAGAGGACTGTGGGCTTCAGCATCTGCTTTTAAATAGCCTTTAATCTTACACATAATTAATAGGGTCTGTGTTTTTTTATCTTTTCCTGTTTCTAGCTCCTACTACTGATTCATTGAACAGCAGTAAGAGCCCACATATAGGAAGTAGCTTTTTACCTGACAACTCTCTTCCTGTATTAAATCAGGTAAAAAAAAAAAATTTGTGTGTGGTTATGTTCATTTATGTTTTACTTATTACATTGAATGATTTAAAATTATGTTAGTCTTACTGCACTCTTTCCTACTCCGTTTCGTTCTTTTTACACTAGGACTTGACCTCCAGTGGACAAAGCACCAGCAGTTCTTCTGCCCTTTCTACTCCCCCTCCTGCTGGGCAGAGTCCTGCTCAGCAAGGCTCTGGAGTCAGTGGGGTTCAGCAAGTCAATGGCGTGACAGTGGGGGCGCTAGCTAGTGGAATGCAGACTGTCACGTCCACCATTCCTGCTGTGTCCGCAGTGGGTGGGATAATTGGAGCTTTGCCAGGTAACCAACTGGCAATTAACGGCATTGTAGGAGCTTTAAACGGTGTTATTCAGACTCCAGTCACAATCTCCCAGAACCCTGCCCCCCTCACCCACACCAGTGTACCACCTAATGCAGCACACCCCATGCCGGCAGCCGCACTGACTAACAGGTAAGACACTTGCTTCAGTGTGATGTTGTTGTTATTATTTTCTTTTCTTTTTCATGCAACATATTATCAGTGTTGTCCTTGTTTTGGGTTAGGATTTTTAATTTATTTTGTAGATGTTCTCTAGGAAAAAATAAGTGCTAGCTACTCATGGTATGCTTGTTTTTTAAACTGTTGTAATTCAATTAAAAATTCATTTCAGTATCATATTAAATATATTGGGCCGAAAATGTCAGTCCTGATCTGGGATATCTATCTTAAAATGTTACTTTTCCTTATTACATACATGTATACTAAGTTTTTAAAAGGTATTTTTTTGGCAGTTATATGATCTGGCTCCTCAGATTTCAAAGCACAATTTTGATACTCTATCACAAATTTTGATGAAGTGGGGGACAGATGAATACTAAACACATAAGTTTGTACCTTTTTAAACTATCTACTTGACTGAGTTTCTGTTATTTGACAGTCGAGTTTATGTATATAAGGAGAAAGAATAATTTGTAGGTAATGAAGTACTGTAGTTAAAAATGAATTTGTTAACTGCCCCACAAAGATGCTGCCTTTCTCGTCATCCCTGAGAAGGGCACAGTAGAAAGTAAGGCTGTGCTGGTTTTTCAGTGCCTCGGGACTAGGACTGCTGTCGGACCAGCAGAGGCAGATGTTCATCCAGCAGCAGCAATTCCAGCAGCTGCTGAACTCCCAGCAACTCACACCCGTAAGTTCTCTGTTTGATGGTGGCTTATGTTTGTCAGTGAGTGTCTGGTACTGTGACTGTAATAGGCTGAATGTATATCTGTGATGTGTATCCTAGAAGTTGTCTTGCCCTTGGGCACACCTGTACCATCCCATTTGCGGATTGTCTTACAGATGTTAGAACATGTATTGTGCTGGGTATTAGAAGGCAAGCTGTATTTTCCTGGCAGTTCATTCTGACAGGAGAGATAGAGAGTGCACACACTTGCACCATGGTACCTTCCAAGAAGGAAGGATACAGGATGAGGGCAGGCTCTAAAGACTCTAAGGGATGGAGTAAGGTGAGAGTGAGGGCATTTCACTTGTTTTGTGGTATCGTGAGAAGAACCATGGCCGCAGATGTGAGAGGCTTCTGGACTAGCATTCTCCTGTGGTAGTCCACCATGGTTCTGCCCCCAGTTCTAATAGCCACATCAATTGTGCCTAGTCTTGCTCTATTTTCCTTCTTAATGAATTCATTGAAGAATATTGAACTGAACATGACATGGTAATTGCTAAGGGTTTAGAATCATTAGTTGCTATATTGAAACACTTTGTGTCAGGAGGGGGAAGATGGGCTCAGCAGTAGAAACCCGAGTCACTAGCCAGATAGTTCATGTCCTAAGACACTGTAGAACTGTAGTATATTTTGATGAAGACAAGGAAGGGAGCCCTGAAAAGTTGGACACTGACTTTTACAGAGATAGAGAGGAACAGAAGGCTGTTTTCCTGAGAAGTAGTAACTCCACTGTCACATACATACATATCACATACAGTCCATCCTTTGAGCCCATCTGCCAATTCTTTATCTGTAAATCACAGTCACAAATATTAAAAATGCTTATCTGTACTGAACCCGTATATTCCTTTTTGCTACAATTTCTTAACACTGTATAACGATATATTTTATATCTTATTTCCTTTATATTCTAACAATGTTCAAGTATATTGGGAGGATACCAAGGTTAAATGCAGACGCTGCCTGTTTTGGAGACAGAGCATTGGTGTGTAGCCCTGGCTGCCTTTAATCCCATCACCCTCTAACCTCAGCACTCCTTAAATAGTGCATTTTAGGCATGTGTCAGCAACCTAGCTTTAATTTTAAAAAATATAGAAACATTTTGACAATATGTTTCCATTTTAATCCCAGGTACGGGTTATGGGGGGCTTCAGTTCATTCGCAGCAGCTGACTATGATTTGCCCCATGCTTGATCAGGGGCTTGACTTTGTCAGGTGCAGATAGTTTGTGTGATGGTGTGACATTTGTAATTCTGGGAACTCTTCCAAGGGTACATAAATGCTAGGACCCTGAGAGGGTGGGGTGGGTGGATTGTTGGTTGATTGCTATTGGTCACTGTTTCTTAAGTAGTTGTGTGCAAAGAATAAGAAATTAGATATCCTGATGGTAGAGGTCAGACTTGCCCTAAGGAACCCGACACCCCCAATCAAAAGGAAATAGTCTAAGGAGAACATCACCCCGGTTCCCTTCTATCCTTGTGTCTCTCCTATCTAGTGTTGGCTGGTTAAAGGAGTGGAGAAGGGTGGAAGAAACACTAACTCACAAAGTAGCAAAAGTTGTGCCACAGCAGGGCACACCAGCAGTCCTAGCACTTGAAAAGTAAAGGCAAGAGGATCAGGAGATGTATGAGACTGTCTCCAAAGCCAGACACTCATCTCCTACTTGCCTACCACAGCCATTTGTCTCCACAGGTGGTAGTAGACTTGTAAGTCATTGGTCACGCTCCTACACCTCCCTGACCTGGAGTCACATTTGACAGTTGATCATTCTTTACCCAACTTTGATGATGTCACAGTCCTACTTACTTAGCTAGTCCTTTTTGGTTTCCCAGTTTGGGTCTTCCCATTAACTTCAACCTTCTTACCTAGGAATCCAGTTCAGCAGTACCCTCCACTCTCAGATGTTTCAATCTGTACAGCTATCTTCAGAGTAGACCTCTGTGCAGAGCTGTATACTATATGGGTCCACCTGGTTACTGCATAGCCCCACCACACACCCCGAGGGCATTTTAAACATGTCCCCAACTAAGCTATTCTGCTTCTTGCTTACACATCGTGCCCTCCCCAGTTCCAACCTAAGTCAAAACTGTACAGTTGTTCTTTTTTGTTTTTCTTGTGACTTCATGAAGAAGCCTCTCATTTAGCTGGTGGCACACACCTCTAATCCCTGAATGCTGATTCAGGAGATGGGTAGGCACTCTACACAATGAGTTTCAGGCCATTATTACAATACTGAGACAGTATCTGTCCCCATCCTCAGCCTACTCTAAATCATTCAATCAGTCAGTCAGTCAATCAATCAATCAGTCCCTTCTCTGCTCAAAAGCATTCCTGACATCTTCCCGCTTTTCTGCCTGACAGTCTGACTGGGCTCTCAAGGGTGTAGGATCTTGCTGTATAATCTCTCACTGAGGCCCAAGAAATCCCCTCCTTCTTCATCCACTTGGTTAATGCTAATCTCCTCCTCCAAGTCTTTGTCCACTCTTACTTTGGCAGAGCTGCTCTGACTACTCCAGTGTCATGGACTTAGTTTCCTCTTAACACTCACCATACTGTAACAGGGACCCCTATCTACCATACATCCCAAGCAGCTAACACGGTGTCTGTAGTCAGCACCCCAGAAATCTTGAATGGAATTTATGCTTACTGAAAGTAGGAATTCAAAACTACAGCAAGAAAATATCTTCTGTTAGGAGTTGATGGCAACTTCTAGAAACTGTTGAAAAGAATTGTTTGGTCCGTGTGAGGGACTGTAGAGTAGCTATTTATAATGTGACTTACCAGTTTTAGTTTGTTTCTCTGTTGCTGTGACAAAGCACTGACCAAAGCACCTAGGCAAGGGTTTGTTTTGGTTTCCAGGCTACTGTACCATCTAGGGACAACACAGCAGGGACTGAAGCAGGGGGCGGGGGCTGCCCTGCTCCTCAGGACTTGTCACATTTGTTTTCTTAGCTATCCCAGGACCACTTGCCTAGGGCTGGTGCTGTCTACTGTGGGCTGGATTCTCCTGCATCATTCTTTAGTCAAGGCAACGCCCAGCAGACTTGCCTATAGGCCAGTCCGATTGAGGCATTGTCTCAATTGAGGCTCCCTCTTCAGATGACCTGCGTGTGTGTTAACAAAGTTAGGCAACACAGCACCCAACTGCTGATGTCTCCCTTCTCTGTTCTTCACGGACAGCCTCATTTGAATATGCTTCTCCTGTGTTTGCCCACTGTGTTTAAAAATGGGCAGTTCAGCTGGATGGCAACACAGGTACAATTTCTAATCCCAGCACTTTGGATGCATAGGCAGGCGGGTGTCTTGAGTTCTGGGACAGCCAGGGTTACACAGAGAAACCCTGTCCTGAAAAACAAAAATCAACTAATTAATCAATTAATCAGAAATAGACAATTCTCAAGTGGTGCTGAGTTATTACCTAGTGCAGTTGCTTTCCTGGCTGCTGATCTTTATCTTGTTCATTTTTAAACAGACCTCACCATAGAGTCTTGGCTGGTATACTATCCAGACCAAGCTATCCTGGAAATTCATAGAAATATGCTTGCCTCTGCTTGCCAAGTGCTGGGATCGAAGGCCTGTGCTGCCACACTCAGCTCTTGTTCTCTTAGTTTTGTGACTGTGATTTAAATAATACTGTAGGAGAGAGATAGAGAAGGCAGGCTTTGCTGACTCTGGCTGAAGCTCATCTTTTGTCCCATGTTTGCTGAAGGAACAGCATCAAGCCTTCCTGTACCAGCTGATGCAGCAGCAGCAGCACCACCCACCCGAGCTCCAGCAGCTGCAGCTCCCAGGGCCCACGCAGATCCCCATCAACAACCTCCTTGCAGGTACTCAGGCGCCCCCACTTCACACGGCTACCACCAACCCTTTCCTCACCATCCATGGAGACAGCACAAGCCAGAAAGTCACAGTAAGTATGTTTTGTGCTACACCTTGGAGACAGGGTTCGTAGTGAGCCGAGTTGGATGGTCTTGTCTGTTTTACACGTTATTCCTATGATTTTTCCTTCTTAGGGCCAGTTGTTTCAGCAGCTGGATATTGCAAATGGAGTGTCTGAGCCATCTTAATTTTCATGTCCCTTACATATATTGATTTGGTTTTGCATATAAGGTTCTAAGGCCATTTATAATACAACATTTTCTAAAATGTTTTATAAGCAAAATATATGAGACAGCACATTCAAAACAGATTATTTTTTCTCTAAAAGAAAAGGTTTTGTTTTATTTGACTAGTTAAAGATTTTTTTCTCCATTTGATTCTATATGTTTTATTACCTGTTCCAACTTGCTTTTAAAATGGAGTTACATTTTTGATATGATAAATATACAACATTAGGACCAGATTCCTTGAGAAAGTCAATTGCTGTGCTGGAGAGATGCCCAGCGCAATCAGAGCACAAAGCACCCGGATTCAGTGTCACCCACTCTGCTCTCAGCACTGCCTCAAACTTTTGGTTTCTGTCAGCACCTGCACACACACACAAACCCACAGGCATCTGCACACATACACATAATATGTTCCCAAAACTTAATTGCAGTCACAATTTTAATAAAATGTAAGATTTCAGTTTATTGACTTTATAATTTATAAGTCATTTATAAGTCTTTAAGGGGTAAAAGTAAAGTTAGGTGTGGATACATGAACAACCTGCACATGTTTTAGGAAGGTCCTGCAGTGCAGAACATGGAGACCTGGTGCCAGGAGGGGAAAGACAGGGAAAGGACCAGGGGGACAGAGGGGCACTTGCAAATATGAGTGCTGATATTACCATGTTCATTGCTTTGAGATTTTTCTCGTTTTAATTTTAACCTTCAGAAACATTAGTTTTCATTTAGTAATGAATACTGGTTCAAAATATGGGCTGATTGCTGTGTTTTCACTGTGGATCTTGCCCCCTTTCCCTGTCAGTGAGTCTGTGTTTATATGGACGTTTGACACAATTTACTGTGCTTTTGCTCATGGATATTTTCCACATTAAAAATAGATTAATTTTTAGTGAAGAGCCACAATAAATAATCAGAGACTAAGGGGCCTCCTGGGGGGCAGCACACGCCTCTAAGCTCAGCTGCTGGGGTGGCTGAACCTAGAGAACCCTGAGTACTGAGCCAGAGAGACAGAGGCCCCACGTCTCTCTTCCCCTCTCCCTCTTCTCAACCCCTGCTCTCCCAGATGCAGTCTCTTTATAGTCCTGGCTGTCTGGGAACTCTCTATGTAGACCTGGCTGGCCTTGAACTCACAGGACCTAACTCACAGGACCTGTCCATCATGTTGGGATTAAAGACAGGTGCTACCACACCTTGTGACTCAATCTCAAGACAAACAACAAAATCAACAGGAAGCTGGGTTGGGAGGGAAGTTAAGGTGCTGCTGGGTCCAAAGATCCTGGAGTACAACATGATACGTGAATTCATTTCTTAACATGGTAGGTGGAACCCCACTCACAGTAGGCAAGGGCTAAGAGAGGTCAAAGCTCAGAGAACATATACAGCTGTGGGGTCAACTGTGACTTTTTCCGAGTCCATCAACGCTCAGTATTGGCCATACCTTGCTCCTCCTGTGGAAAGGTGGATTTGGGACAGTGATGCTCCATCCTTTCCTTAGAATTGTATCCAAGGATGGGCTCACCACCTTTGTGCCTTTCCAAGTGCCCAGTGTGGTGATAGAAATCCTTCTTAGAAATCCATGTTCACTGTGCTAAAGAGTAGCTGACTTCAGGAGAAATCACTTGTACCACATTGAATCAATGACAGTCTGAGATAGAGGGTATTATCTTGTCTCGGCCAACATTGGTTGAACTAATGCTTATAATTTTTGTTTTGAATTGCAGAGACTTAGTGATAAAACTGGGCCTGTAACTCAAGAGAAAAGTTGACACTTGAAAATTGCCAGAACTCGGCTCTCCTGCTGCTTTGTGCTTCACTGGCTGCTGCAGTGTCTGCCATAGCTATGAAGAAGGGCGGTGGGAACGCACAGGGGAAGATGCCACACATACCCTTGTGAGGCTCTGAGTAATTTTCTTGTTGCTTTGTTGCACTGAAATGGAATTCCTATATCCCCACCCCCTACCAAAGTGTTTGAACTTTGGAAGAAAAATTAATAACTTTTTGTCAATGAAATAATTCACATGCAATGAGTTTATTAATCCAAGAAAAAAATGTAATGTGCTTGGTGCACAGCTAGTTTTGTTATAAATTGGAGACATATAAAACTAAAGACTATTCTATTTGCAAACCACTTGGTTATATCATAAAAGTTGGAATAGGAAATATCTTATTGGGATAGAGTGTGCTTGTTCCATGGGGCAGATCTTAAGTTTTGAGAACTGTCTGATTTCTTCTCTTGGAGTTATATTCATTAAATATTGTGATTACACAGATCCTCAACTGGGGCTTTGCAAATGTTGTTTTAAAGAATTCCTTTCTAATGACATTTGTCCATTTGGAGATCAGATTAGGATGGAGACAACTGCTTCTGCTAACAGTAATTTTCTTTTGCAAAAAAAAAAATTTTTTTTTTGTGTGTGTGTGTGTGTTAAAACCTACTGAGATCTCGAGTTAAGTGAGTTCTAAGGCTGCTGGGAGAACCAGATCAATTGGAAGTGAATAGTTTCTTTCAGAAAGAGATACCAATGTGGAAACTGCTGGAAGGTTCTGGCATCAACCAAGTGCCTGTTGGGACCTCCCTGGGTAGAAAGGGCTTTGTACAGCAGGGTAGGCCACTTGTGCCAGCAGCCTTCCCCATGCATGCTTCTGCCTCTGTTGAACTTTTCTGTACCACCATAGAGCGCTCAGGCAAACTGTCCACAAGGAAACAAGTAGATCTGGGAAGAGCATAGATGCTTGTTTATTTCACCAGTCTCTCAAAACCACCCACTGGAACAATCACAGGAGCCAGCACAGTTCTTAAAACCTGTCCCACAGCCTTTCGACTTTGAGTAGCTATGCTCTTGACTGTGACAATATGGCAGACTAGTAGGTTAAACAGTTGGGGACAGAATCATCGGTCTGTTTCTGAAACGCATGAATTGAATTACTAGTGGAAAAGGCCCAGCTGCAGTTGGCCCTCCACTGTGTGCTTAGCTGGAAGAACGCGCTAGCTTAGCAGTCTGTCTCCTGTGACGCTGCACACTTCTTACCTCACTTCTGTAAATAAGGTTGTGAATCTGTTTTGTAATGTGAAAAATTCATAAGATAACATTGATATTTTGATTTGTAATATTTCTAATTGGTAGATTTAATTGAAAAGTAAAATTAATTTATTTTTATATGTTCAGGGGAATTTTAAAGAAAGTCAAGCCTTTTGTAGATAATTTAAAAGAATCAGTGTGGTTTATTTTACGTATGTAACCCACTGGTTGTTATTCTGTAACAATTTGTATAAATGGTAAATTTTTGAATGTGCTGTTATTTTACTTAGATGTAAAATTCCACATGTATTAAAATGTACAAAGTTTTTGTTAATAAAATTTAATGATGTTTATAGCCCCATGCCCTTCTTTTTCGGAGCGGCGGCTGTCCTGAACTCATGTGTGCAGTGCTTCCTTGTACTGTGGGTATGTCTCATTGGGAGTTTATCTTGTAGTTGTCTGATTTCTCAGGGGTAGGCTGTGCAGAACAGCATGGAGCTGCTCAGCTCTGTCTAGAGATGGCAGGTGATTGTTGAGGAGAGAGGGTGGGTGGGTGAGTATCCACAGTAAGAAGGGAATTGGCTCTAGAGGAGACATTTATTTATAACACATTTAAAAAAAAGTAGCATGCACACTTGATTAAAAACTAAATCTGTTGTTCACATATTTAGAGTAAATGCGAGGCATTCTCTAAAACAGAAATACATACATGTGTCCAGTGATCCTTGGGACATGGATACACTGTAGCTTTTTACTCCAGACATAATTGAATCAGAGTATAGAGATGCATGTTATTTCTTCTTGGTAATTAAGAGTTGAGTGAACATGAAAAAAACTAACCCTTGGCTCCTAATTGTATTTTGTTTTAATAGGGGCTATGTATCCTGGCCAGCCTCAGACTCTATATAGGTAGCTAAGGCTGCCCTTGAACTTGTAGTTCTTTTTCCATTAAAGCCTGGGTAGTGGGATTTCAGGTTTGTGCTGTCACCTAGCTTCTGTGGTCCAAGGACTCCCTGCAAGTAGTTTCTGGTTGAGCCTCATCTCCAGCCCTAAGTCCTCTACTTTATCACAGGTTTGTAGGAAGAGACAGAGATTGACTTTACAGAGTCTTTGCTGTTGGCCAGATGAGTGGATGACACCTGCATCCCCAACACCAGCTGCTCTGGCAGAGGACCCCTGTTTTGAATAGTTGGTCATAGTTTTTGGATGTTTGGGGAAGACTAGATGGTGTGGTCATTCTGGTATCACCAGAATGTGGAAGCTGTGTAACTTGCTTGGCTCACTGCACCAGTACCATATAGCATGACCTCAGAACAGAACAAAGATGTACAGAAGGACAAGAGGTAGCAAAGAAATAGGAGCCATGGTAGGACTGAGGATTGGGCTGATGTGAAGAATTCAGGGGAGAAAGTGGACATGTTCTGGTATAGAAAAGCAAGTTCAGGTCCCTTAGGGATGCTGCCCCCAGTGGCGCTGCTCAATACCAGCCAGTGGCAACTTTGAAGACACCAGCTTGTTCTCTCCCCTCTTCTCCTGTACCTCATTCCTCCACCCCCTTTCTCACCTCTCTTAGTTAATTCTCTGTTGCTGTTACAAAACACCATAACCAAAGCAACTTATAAAAGAAATGGTTTATTTGGTGCCTATGGTTCCAGAGGTATGAGTCCATGATAGCTGGTTGGAGGTGGCAGTAGGACTGGGTCTACAGGAGCCACAAGCAGGAAACAGAGCTGATTTTGAAATGGCTTTTGGAACAAAGCCACATATTCAAATGCTAGAGACTTATGGGAGACAGCTCATGAAGACAACCACAGCCTGGCTGGTCTGGAACTCACTCTATAGCCAAAGATGACCTGATCCTACTACAGTTTGAGTTCTGGGATGACAGCCATGCAGCACCACACCCAGTTTTATGGGGTGCTGGGGATGAATCCCAGGGCTTCATGATTGCTGGAAAGTACTCTACCAGTTGAGACAGTCCCAGCCCAGAACTTGGGGCATTTACTTCTATTTCCATAAAAGAATGTGAGTGTATGCAAAATCAAAAGATGACTCATACTGATTTATAGGATTAGATAGCCTCAGAAAATGCTATGGGTGCAGTACTTGAGTGAACAGTGATATGAACAGTTTGGGTGTGGAGAGAGGTCCAGGAAATGGATAACCAGCTGAAAAGTGCCCAGTAGTAAGTGGGAGGCCACTAACAACATGCATGGGTGGCTGAAAGCACAAACAACCCTATGGTGGAGTTGGAGGCTGAAGCCAGAATACATCTCTGCCAGGCCTATTCCAATATGGGAGCTGTCTTGTGTCTTCAATGAGAGGAAGACCACTGACTTCCTAGGAACTTTGTGTGTGGTTTTGCCCGTAATAAGTCAAACTGCCACCACCTTCAGGAGGCCAGTTAGGCCTGTTTGCCAGACTTGGACTCATATCCTGGGAAGGAGGGGATGGGACATGGAACAGCATGCAAGTATCCAGCCACCCCCACCCCCTCAGACTGTATGCAATTATGTTCTAATTCCGTGTGCTTTGGGGTCTCTGGAAGATGCTAGACTCTGTATGTGGGTAAGTACTAGGGGAGCTGGCTCCCTCAGTGTAGCCTTGGGAAGCCACCATCCCTGCTGGGCGCAGACTTTCCGTAGCTGTTTGAAGGTCACCTCTGCTCCTACTGATAAGCCCTCATCCACTGTAAGTAACCCTATATAAATAAACTGGTTACCCTACATGAACTTTGGAGTTGGGTTTGTTTTTGAGACCTTAGGTGGAGGGGTAGACATTGAGTTTTGGCAACAGCTCATCGTCCGAGGCCTTACCTGCTAACAGTAACATACTGAGTATTGAGGTGTCATTGTGTAGAACTGGGCATGACCACAAACAGCACATTGCAGCCGTGGAGCACATCTCTTGTTTGGGAACAGTTTGAAGTTTCCTTCTAAGGTTGGACTGAAGTTCAATTTCCATCACGTACATATATGCATGGTAACTTACAACCATCCATAACACCATGTCCAGGGGATTCCAATGTCCTCTTCTGGTACGCAGACATACACAAAGGCAGAACACTCATACCAAAACAAAACCAAAAAACCTTTTAAAGTTTCAAACAAAAGCAAGAAATTCTTTAAAAATTTCAAGATGCATGTATTGGTGTGCATGTGGTTATGTAGGCGGGGGATGTGTGGTGTAGCACAGTATGGACGCAGAGGTCAGAGGCCCGCTTCTGTGAACACAGGAGTGAGCTCAGCTCAGCAGGCTTGGCAGCCTACCCCGAGCCCCTTCCAGGCTCAGAATTCTCATTTGGCAAACTTACTTGCTTTATCTCAGATTCTGCCTAATGCAACTGTTTTTTCCTCCTTAGCCGGCCAACAGGAGACATAATAGTTTTGGCACCACAACCTGCTCCTGTCAGAGCACTCAGTCTCCTGCTAGAAGCAGGCTGGTGCTTTCCTTGCAAAGAGAGGAGGCTGTGCATGCAGAAGAAGCCTGCTTCTTTTGCAATAGATTGAATCTTCTGTGCATGTGAATCCCACTGTGAGGGATTCTGCTCCCAACAATGACCTGGGCCTTGGAGGATGGATCACCGTGGCCTCATGGCCTCTACCCTCTCTAGAATTCTGCATCCCCACTGGCTAAAGAAGCATGTTCCCTCAGAGCCTCCTGTCCAGATCTGCAGTGGGCAGCCTTGGGGGTCCAGGGAGTCTGACATTGCAGTGGTCCACAGAGCCCTTGTCTTGGGTTATCAAGAGACACAAGTCAGTAGGTATAGGTCCTGACTAGCTCAGCAGCCTCTGGTTCTTGAAGTGTGTGCCTGTGTGTGTGTGTGACTTGGGCCACCTGAAGCAAACAGGGAGTCCACCCATAATAGATCAAAGACCTCAGGCAAGTATGTGAGCTCACACTGGGGAGCCTTTCTTGGCCTGTCAGCTTCACCAACACTGGTGATACTCAATGACAGTTAAGAAACTTGTGACCATGCAAAAAGGAACATTGCTCTTGAGAAGTTGGGTGCTCAAAGCCTTCACACAGATTATTCTGCCATTTTCAACTAAAATACTTAACAAAAATCTTTTTTTTTTTTTCAGATGAGTTTGGACTAAAAACAACATAACTCAAGAGATATCTCCCATCTCTTGCAAGCTGTGGCCACCCAGAACAGACCTGGGCAGATAGAAAGTGGAGTTCTGGAGAGGTGTCACAGGGACAACACTCAAAGCATGCTGCTGCCTAGCAGCTACTCTCCAAAGGGCCTTGGCTTGTCAGGTGTCAGATTGATCCTGCCAATCTAAAGGCTATGTCCCGATGACAGTCCACATCCATGCAATGTAGTGCCTGGCTGCTATCACCTGGGTGAGCAGCTGTAAAAGGTTTGGAGATGTGGCTGGAGATGGGGTGGGCAAGTACCTGTTATCTAACAAGGATAAAAAAGCTGACACAGTCATTCATGGCCACAGCCAACTTCTCCCTAGCCTACAGAACAAGCAAGCAATGGGAACAGTACTGAGAAGGTGGGTGGAAGGAGGCTTGTCAGCAGACACGTGTGAGAGAACTCAGAAGGCGTGGAGAGGCGAGGGGAGTGTAGGGAGTGTCTTAGTTGTCATAGGTTGAGATTCCTAGGCCCTCTATTTCTGGGGCTGAAACAGGGTCACAGATGCTTCAGTGACTGGCCTTCAGGTATGCCCCATTTGGAGGTACCTGCTGTCTACAGACCATAGCCCTTTAGGAGGGAACTTTCTCCTGCATCTGGGAGCTAGAAGTGTAGTAGTATATGTACCTGATTGGTCCTAGAGCAACCCAACCCTTTAGGATCCAGCTTTGCTGTGAAGAATGGCTCTTAGAAGCACAGATGGGTATAGGATGCTGTGCTGGTGCCTCATGTTCTTAAGGACTCTGGAGGAGAGTAAACAGGTTTATACTCCAGTACCAACCAGTTGTATTTTTACAAAGTGTTTCTGATTAAGGGCTCACTGTGTAGCCCTGGCGCTGGCCTAGAACTCACTGCATAGAGCAACCTCAAACTTGCATCTGTAACCATAGCTCCTGGGTGCTATGGGTGCTATGGTTACAGATGTGTCTCACATGTCCTGCCGTAAGACGTGTCTCGTTTTAGATTTGGGGCAGAGTATGATAGCCACAGTTACTAGCACTGTGACTGAGAAGGGTGACTTGGTAGCCTGGTTCTCACAGATGTCCTAAGCTGCAGGACAGAAAGCCTGAGGTGGGCCCTCAGCCAGGCCGTCTGCTTTGTTTTTCTTACATGCTTGTCTGCCCGAGATGGGTAAGGGCAGGATGGGGTCAGCTTGAAATGTGTAGTGACCACTTCCTAGGCCATGATCTCTAGGGGTTCTGGCTGTCCTGTCCATCCCAGCTGATAGGCTAGAAATGGTCTCTCTTTTCCATGTCTCCATGGTCCCTTCTTTACAGAGCTGAGGGGACAAAGCTTCTGTTCCAGGACACAAGTTGTTGAGTTGCTTTTTCCCTTTTCAGTTGGTCCTTGGGAGCCAGTTGAGTCTGGGATGCAGTTTCCACATTTCCACAGGGTTAGAGACCTGAGCCTGCCTTTGTTGTCTGAGCTCAGTGAAGGGCATGGACTCCCTGTTCTCCTGTGTGCAGTTGCTTACAGGGCAGAGAGGTGACCTCAGACACCATTATGCTGATGGTGAATCGTTCTCCCTAAATGTGTTCTAGATAGCTCCGTGCTTTTCAGGTTAGGCATGCTGCGCATATCAGCAAGTGATAGGTTATAAAGGAACACCCAGCAGACGGGATACTTCAGACATGAAGAAGGCTCAATAGGAGGAAAGACCCTGAGAAAGTGTTTCCAGAATTCCCTGCATGCTCTCTAGAAACTAGGCCAATGGCACATTAGTACCAGCAAGCCAGCCTTGCACTATGTTACCATGCTCTTGATAATGCAGATCCTTTTCTGAGCCAATTAAGATGGCCTTTTGTTGCTCTGCCAGGCAGCCTGAGGCCAAGCTGGTTTATCTGTGACCGAGTCTCACAGGTGGCTCAGTCCCAGCAATGAATTAACTGTGTGTTCTTTGGCTACTTGTTTGTTTTGGTTTGGTGGTGTTCTGTACCTTGGCTGTCCTCAAGTTCACAGGGACCCTGCCGCTGCCTCCTGAGTGCCACCGTGCCAGCTCCTCTGGCTCCATTATTAAGAGAGCCTATTATGTTTGACTTCTACGTTAGTTCATTCACATGCTCCCCTGTCTACCTGGTCACTAGAACACTATCTGAAACCTCCCAGCAAAGTAAACTTGACAGTGAGGTGAAATTAAGTCTGCAGAACACCCCATCCTCCCTGGAAACACAGGGAGGCCTGAAAACAGCACCTTACAGCGTCTACAATTGATTCATTTGTTTTCTTTTTTTTTTCTTTCTTTTTCTTTTTTCTTTTTTTTTTTACTAAGGCACATGACATTTAGAAATACTGAGGTACAAAATGCAAGTTTCTGCACGAGATTCTAGAGTACTCATTTGGAAAATGATGGTCACCGTCACCTTCCAGAAGATTCAGCTTTTAGCTTGTTTTTTCTTTTGGACCAGTTCAACCAGCAGCTTGTATCTAGCAATACAGTCTTCCTGTGGGAAATGAAGAGAGAGGTGGTGACAGTTATTTCTTGAGTCAGTGCTCCTGGTGCTGTCTGTCAGCTTACTGTGACCTCTCTGCTGGTTAATGCCCAGACCTAATAAGGAAGCCTGTGTTCATTTTCTTTAGAACTTCCTGGGAAAGTCCAGCTGGTCCCAGGCCGACCTGGTCAGAGAAGACCTGCTAGAAGGACAGCCAAGGTCAAGGTGTTGACTGACTGTGATTGTGGAGTGCAGTGTGACAGCCCCCGTGTCAGCTTGCTAGCTGCTTCTACCATGAGAACTCCATCTCATCACATCCCAGTCCAGAGAAACCAAGGAACCTGGGCCCACAGTGCTCTCATGCTCTGGACGGGCCTCTCCCTGGTGGCTGCTGGGACCTTCCTATGTGAGCTGCAGTACACAACTAGCATGGAAGGTGGCCACCCACGTTGAGTGGAACTAAGGTGGAGAAGATGGAAGGAAGCAGCTCATTATTTTCAGGTGGGCATGATGTGTATTTTAGAACCTATTCTTTTTCTGTCTAGATGATACCAACCTTATGATACTGTAAGCATGTTACTTCAGGGTCCAGGGCAAATGACTGTTGTTCTAAACAGTGTCTTTAATCAGGTACCCAGGGCAGGATGGGTATAGCAGTGTAGGACGAGCATCTCGTAGTGAGACCTCCCTACATCCCAACATCACCCACACATGCCTTCAAAGTATTGGCACAGAAACAGCTATGGCCACTCTTAGCATTCAGCCCTCACAGGACAGTGTGGGCAGTGCTGCGGTCTGAACAGGCAGGTGGCAGAGTGTCCCCTGCCACGACCTGAGTTCCCATCAAGGCAGCTGACCCCAGAGGGTCAGTGGGCACCCCTCCTGTGCCTAGTGCTGTTAGGCCACAGTTAAAGCTAAGGGATTCCTGTGGGGCTCAGAAGCCCTGCTCCTCTCTGAGGCAAACAAGAAGGTTCCGCTCCATCTCTGCTGCTTTAATTTTGAGCAAAACTCAATTTATCACACATGTAAATGGCTGGGTCTGACAGAAGTTAGAGAAACTGAGTGAAATAATTACTTTTGGCAAACCAACTGGAGAGATTGGAAGACTTTGTGCTTCCCAAAGAGATGAACTGCTAATGGCTTATTTTTCTCCTCAGAAACTCAGTTTCATCATCGTAAAGTAGGTGACAGATAACTAGACCTGTGCACTCAGGGACATGCATGGCCACAAGCTAGGCTTTCCAACGTAAAATTTCAATTAAAGAAAAATAGGTATGTAAATGAGCATCAACGTGTCCAGAGGCCATTTTTGATTTCTGTGTGCTCCGGGTGCTCACACTTGGGAGCACACCCTTGCAAGGAAGAGCTGTGCGGGAGGAAGGCTGGCTGTGGAGACCTTACAATAGGAGCTCCAAGGCTCCAAATGCAAATCAGTGCTGGGGAAGGCACGCTGGGCTCTCCAAGGCTTGCTTCTGCTTGTATTTGAGATGATGTATTATCAGCAGCTCAGAGCTCTCGATGACAATCAGTTAGAAATGGCCTAAGACCCGAGAGTCAGTCACGTCTTAAGGGTCACTTGTATACTGCCCCACGTGAACACCCACCTTTGGGAAGTGAAGTGTCACCAAAACCAAACCACTGCAGAACTGAGTTACCCTGACAGTGTTGGGGTTGGCCCTGCTTGCCCTTCGAGTTATACTTGTCACAGAGCCAGAGGACCCCTACCCCACCTTCTGTGGAGCAGACATACTTCTTGGAAGCTCTGTTTTACTTAGAATGTCCCTTCCTAAGTAGGATGAACTTTCTAGTAGGCTGGCAGGCTACAGTGGGAAGTTTATGTTTTTGCTTTTTTTTTAAAAAAAAAAAATACACACATTCTCTATCACATGTATCTATAATAAAATATATATGACATTTATGTTTGTTTGTGTGTATACACGAATGCATGTTTGCACATGTGTGTCCAGAGACATGTTGGGACAACTTGAGAGAGTTGGTTCTTTCTTTCCACCAGGTGAATTCCAGGGATTGACCCATCGCAAAGCTTGATGGATGATGGCAAGCACCCTTACCCACAGAGAGCTATCTGGCCAGCCTGAGTTCTGGTTCACAGCTGGTGTTTTCTTTGAGAAGAGCTAGCTATTCTGTATAACTACACTTAGCATCCTAAGCTCATCTCTACCTTGGCAAGCGTACAGGTTCATGAGCTGAGTAGACATTGAAGACAACTGTGAGACACAAGGTCCTGTCGCCAGTGGGGCATGGGGGCTGGGGAGGGAGGGAGCATAGGCCCACCCACTCCAGTGCAGTGTTACGCACCTTACTCTTAGATGGGACACATTTGGCTATTTTGTCCCAGCGGTCAGAGGCTCCTTTCGGGTATTGCTGTAATGCCAATTCTAGAAGTTTCTGCTGACTCTGAGTCCACGCCTCCTCTGCAGCACGAGTTCTTTCTTTTCTCTGTCTCTCTTCGTCACTGGAATCATTCTGTTCCGATATACCGAAGTCTTTTTGCCTCTTTCCTCTCGGCTTCTCCTCTGGCTCTGCTCTGGTTACTGCCTCAGCCACCCTGGCTGACTTCCGTCTCCGAGGCCGGCCTTCTGTGGTCACTGGCTCCTGCTCACCCTCAGCAGTCTCTTGCTCCTCATCCTCAATGGCCCCTGCTGAGTCCTCCCGCTGGGTGATGATGTCATCTGCCAAGGCTGTGGCTATCTTGATTGGCCTGGAATTCTGAACGTTTGACTTAAGTTCAGCGAGCCTGATCATTCCTAGGAAAGGAGCACAGTACGCAAGAGAAAGGGTGTGGTGAACTTGGGCACTGTGCGAGGCATTTTACATGCACTGTCTAATTTACCTTTCCCACTATCAACACTTCAGTCTCATCTATAAGGGAAGTCATTTTCTGAATGCATTAGACATGGGAGCTGGAGCTGGTCTGACCCTTGTCTGTTTCCTTGCCACTGCTCTGAGAAATAAAGGGTATATATGGCCAGACTGTGATCAAAGAGCAGGGACTTTGGAGAGGAAACCTGACACTTATTGGACAAGCGAAGGGACTCCTTATAATCTAGGATTCACTAGTTCTATTAGCACAGTTAAAATACACGAGGCAGGCTTAGCACTGCACCTCCTCTGCAGACAGGCACAGATAGAGTTCTAGTAGAAGAACTCTTACTACTATATTTACAGTGTGTGCATGGGTCACAGTGTGTTCACGCCAGTGTATGTATACAGGCTTGGTTCTTTGCTTCCACCATGTATGTGTGTCCCAGGGAACTGAACTTAGGTGGCCAGGCCTGGTGACAAGTGCCTTTACCTGCTAAGCTATCGCCACAGCCCAAGGTGAATTTATCTTATTTTTGAGACAGAGTTTCTCTGTAGACCTGCTCTGTATATCAGACTGGTTTTGAACTTAGAGGTTCACCTAACTTCTGCCTCCTAAAGGCATGTGCCACCGCACCTGGCTTCAAGGTGAAGTTTTACATGCAGAGAAAGGATCTTAGTAAAAGATTAAGCCATTTACTTTACAAAGGAAAACAGACAAATAGGAGCACACCAATGCAATCAAGGTGTGACCTTCAGTAATGAACCTGGCAGGGGACAGAGGCAGGGCAACCCCCAAGAACAGTTTGGATTGGGACACTTCCATTGGGAGCAGGGACCGTCTAACCCTGGGGGGTCTAACCTCATGTTCTGTAGTACTATAACCACTTGGTGTCTCTAAGGAACCATGTTTAAAACCTCATGTAAGTTTCAGTTTATTTTTTGTGTTATGTGCTTGCATGTGTGTGCATGCACATGTGTGCGAATGAGTGTGGCAGCTACAGGTCGACATCGTATGTCGTCTGTCCTTGTCAGTCTCCATCTTGTGTTCCCTCTTACCCGGGACTCATTACTTCATCTGAAACAGCCGGCTGAGACACCAGGGATCCTCCTGTGCCCACCTTGCCTGTCCTGGAATCACAAAATGCTGTACCTAGCTTTCTCGCATGGGTGCCAAGGACTAAACTCAGGTCTTCATGTTTGTGTTGCAAAACCTTTATAATTGAGCCATCTTCCCAGCCTCAAACTTTAATTAAAAATAGCTAAATGTGGCTACTGGTTACCAAATTAGATGTGTGTTTAGCCTCTTTGGAGGACAGTTTGTAAATGTAGGTAAGCCTTAAACATTCTTTAATTTGTGGATTACTGCCATGTACCTATCAGTAATGTCATTTAATTATGAACCATTCCAAAGAAGAATTTCAAGATAAAGATACAGGTGATTTGTTTATTTGTTTGTTTGTTTATGAGACGTCTCTCTGTGTTGCCCTGGCTGTCCTGGAATTCACTCTGTAGACTAGGCAGGCCTCAAATTCAGAGATCAGCCTGCCTGTACTAGATTTAAAGGCTAACGTCACCACACAAAGCTCATGGTTTTTTTTGTGTGTGTGTGTGTTTTTTTTTTTAAATAAATTATTGCTTGTCAAGAAATTTTGATTTGCTTAGTCTCTAAAATCCATATCAATATCCCCTCAGAAATTCCTGTCTAAAGTCCTCCCTCCCCTGGGGAAGAGGAAGGCTTCTAGCATGCAAGGTCTCACCAGTTTGCACCTTAAGCTTACACTCAAAGGGACAAAGGACTGTAGTCCTGGAAACTCAGACTAGTTCTTGGTAGGGTCTGTACACTCAAGAAGACAGTCTGCAGCCGGTCGCCACTGTCTGGCTGCAGACTGACATACGTCGAGTTGATAGTTTCTTTACCTAGGTTATCACAGTAAGACATTGAGCCTAGCAGGGTGCGACAGGAGAGCTCTTCTCAGAGCCAGAATCTGCATAGGTAGCTGAATGGGATGTGTGCCCTGTGGTGAACATGGACAACATTCATTTGCATGTGCCTGTTTCCTCTACCAAGTAGCACTACCCACCACCACAGGTGTAAGTTCACCCAGAAAGACCTGCTGTTAGGGCCTGTCCTTCACATGTCTGCTGCCGCTGCAGACTGAGTAACTTTCTGAGCTGACATTATATTATGTTCAGCTAGGCTAATGAGACGGCTCTAGGGTTAACCAGGACCCAGATTATGGAAGGAGAGAACAGACACCTCCCCCTCTTTATCCCCCCCCCATTTCAGTTCTAGACTGACAAAAACTGCAGTTTCACATGGGATGAAAAAATAGAAAAAATACATAATACTGGATAAAATACCAAATTTACAAGTTAGCTACCAAGTCTATTAAGATATCAAGGATCTGCTAGCCATCATAGCTGACTAGGACAGTAAATAAGGACAGTGGTGTAGTGGTAAGCTTAGCATTAAGTTTCTCTTAAACCAGTCAGCCTTTCTCCCCACACTGCTGAGGACTGATCTTAGAGTTTCACAGGTTTCTAGTGCTGACTGAAATCCCCAACCCAATTCAGTTTTTAATTTTTTTTATTAAGTAAAACTTTTAATTTATTTCATGTGTATGTGTAGATTTTTTTGGCAGATTAAGTAATTTTCTGCTGCCATCCTTACTGTATAAGAGAACACTCGTGGGCTCTCTTATAACATGTGGGTCCCACGGACTGAGCTGAGCCTGTCAGGGCTGGCAGCAAGCTCGATTTTATCTGCCAACTCACCTTGCTCACCCACATCAGCTATCTTTGCAAACTAACGTAAGGCCACGTGAGCCCTGCCCCACAAGCACTCACACATGCAGATGTGTGTTCCAATGGAGCTCAGGCTGGGCTTGAACTTTCTACACAACAGAGCCCTCCTCACCCACATCCTAACATGATGACAAGCGTGTATCACCAGGCCCAGTAACAATCATTTTGGCCACAAGGTAACAAATACAAGATAATATAAATAATATATAGCATATGATAAATGCTTTAAAGCATCTATTTCTAAATGTTGTTTCTTGTTCAACACAAATACATTTCCAAATAGTTACTTTCGCATTCTTTGTTTAAAAGTCACCTTTGTTTCTCCAGAAACATTTTATCTTAATATCTGGAGCCAAGCTTAGAACTTTTATTGAAAAATGTGAAAATTTATTTCACTAACTTTTAAGAGCATTCTGTTAAAGTACTAGATGCTTCTGTGTGACATGACGCAGTCCCAGGCTTGCTCTCCGTGGTACTCAGAAAGCACCATCATGACACTAGAGGGTCTCAGCTTGTCCTGGATGGGAACAAGCTCAAATCAAAGAATGAGCAAGAGGCCACCACCAACCCATTTTCTCTCTGAAGTCTTGGCCCATATGAGGCATCTGCTCTCCAGAATGAACATAGTGAGACTCTGGATTAACTGTGTAGATTAAATAAAGAAAACGTGTTCATTCCTCACTATTTTAGATTAAATATAAAGCAGGAGAAATCCTAATACAGTCTTCCTACACTGCAAACACCCATTCCCCTCACCTCCCCCGCGTGTATGTGCGTGCGTCACAGTTTCTCTCCATCTCATTTTATTAATGTTAATACTTATTAATATTAGCCATGGTAATGATTAGGGGTTGGTCACCACTCTCATTCACTGCGTAGGTAGACAAACTTCTGTCTCCCTCAAGCATCAAGGAAATTCTGAAGTCTTTGATCATTTTTCTTTCTGTTGATTCCTCATGGATTTTTTTCCTTCCAAATATAAAGTCTTATCTAACCCATATCAGCCTTCAATTTGAATAACGGAGGCTGGTCTCTCCCAAGTAGAGTAAAGGACTGCTTTGTATACTTCACTTTGGAGAACACTATTTCATAATTCCTTTTAAAGGAAAGCTGAACTGGGCGGTGGTGGCGCACACCTTTAATCCCAGCACTTGGGAGGCAGAGGCAGGTGGATCCCTGAGTTCGAGGCCAGCCTGGTCTACAGAGTGAGTTCCAGGTCAGCCAGGGCTACACAGAGAAACCCTGTCTTGGGGCAGTGGGAGGGGATGATGACTGTGACTGGTCATGCCTATAGAACTACTCGGCTACTCAGGAGGCAACACAGCGAGACCCACAGAAGGTGCGTGTCAGTTTCTCACTGTAACCTGCAGTAGCTTTCCAACAACACATTCCTGCACAAAGTTCTGGAAGTGGACTTTCTCGTGATATACTACTGTTACTCTGTCTCTCTGCCCACGTAAATCACTTCATTGATGGACGGAAGCTTAAAACAGTCTTTCCTAAACCTAGGGAGAACACCATACTGAACTCGTCTGACGATCCTGGGATCCCTAGGTATGCTAACATTCTACATCTTTACCCTTAATCAACTTAGCAGGACCAGACTGATTCAGTAGCTATGGCTAACCTTTCAGAGAAAGGATCAGTAGAGGTTTCTGGGAAAACTACCATTCCTAGCACTTAAAGAAGTTATTACAAAAAGCTATTCATCTTGAAGAAACCTTGTCAGATTAGTGATAATGAAGAAACTCACTTGGGGTGATTGACTCTTTCATTTGCTTGGATTTGTGGAATAAAATTGATTAAGATGGCAACTCACCGGGGGAGCTGGTGACTGAGTCCTTCAGTTCCTTGGCTTTGGTTGTCACCTATTTCAAAATATAAAGAACAAGACATCTTACTTTGCACATGCCCTGCAGGTAAACTGACTGTTTTCATATAAGACCCATATGAAGGAACAGAGTAATGGAAGCCATAAACACAGAAGACCCTCATCCCTGTGTAAGGGGCTGAGGAAGCATCGAGATAGAGATGCACAGAGTGGAAGAAGTCCTCAGTGAGTGTGTGTGTGTTGACGGGGCATGAGCGTGACAGGGACCAACATCCCAGCCTCTTGGGAGTGGCAAAGCTTTCTTCCTGGGTGTAAATGTTGGCAGTGTGTACAATCCAAACAATTGACCAGAGTGTGCCAAACTGTCATCTGCACAGTCTTCCTCCAGGATGCCTGCAGCCTTAGAGACCCCTACTGAGACGGCTCAGCTCCTCACCCCCACTTGTGCTGAGATTCCTCATGGTTGGGATGTTGTGGTAATTGGTGTGCTCATCAGAGCAAGCACAGTGCTCCAGGCCCAGCTTTTCTCTGTGTATCTCCCCTTTCTTAATTCCCTAGCTACTCCCAGCCTCACTGAAAACTGCAGCTCACGCCAGGCTACCTATTAAGGAGAGGTAGGCCCAAGAGAGTCAATGTCTTACTCAAAAATGCCCATCGACAGTAGCATCAGAACCCAAATCATTTCACTAACCTCAGCGGCAGTTAACTATACTAAATCGCTTTTAGAAAGAGTTTTAAAAGACCTGTGCAAGTGGATCTCTGTTTTCAGTAAGGGTTTCCAGAAACTGAATGGATTTCTTCACTGGAAGATACTGTACCAGTGAGCATAGTGGGGGCAGGGGGATAACAGTCATGCTAATCATAATACAAGATCACACAAGAGTACACCACAAGAACATGTTTTTGGGGTGAAGGCATATGAACCCAAGAAACAATACATTTCCCTTTGAGCGTGGATCTAAAGAAGCAGTACAACTAGTACTAGCATTTACTAGTTAAGAGTGGTGAGCTCTGTAACATTCATATACACTTACCTCTTAAGGTTGTTTGGTTGTAAAGATTCATTTTACATGTATGGGTATTTTCTTCCATGTGCACCACACACATGTAGTGCCTTTGGAGGGAGGTGAGCACAGCGGAAATGAATTTATGGAGGTCATTACTGTGAACTGAACCAGGGTCTTCTCTAAGAGTAACAAGTGCTCCTAACAGTTGAGACATCCCTCTAACCCCAACATGTTTAAGTTGGAAATAAGCTCTTAGCATGAGGCATGGAAATATTTAAAGTGCAGTAAATCATGCAGAAGGCAGAGTGAGAAAAAACATTTACAGCTGGTTAGAAACACTAATTTCACAGATGCTGCCTCCTATTCAGTAAAAACAAGCTGAAGTTGTCATCCAACACAAGTTCCTTTAACTTCTAAGTGTTTGCTTCTTTTCTTTTCTTTGTTTGCTTGTTTTGTTTGAGACCAGGTTCCTCCACACACTCAGAGACTTGGACTGCCTGTGCCTCTTGAGTGTTGGGATTAAAGGGAAGAGCCACCACTGCCCAGCTTCCAAGGTTTTCCAATTAAAACTTTCACACCCAAAATCTGATGACACTATCATATGTTTCTTTTCCTTTAACCCAAATACATTGACCTTGCCGTGGTGCGTTTCCTTTACCTCTAGCGTCAGTTTTTCCTCTCCACTGGATACATCCCATAACCCTAACACTTGGCTCTATCAAGTTCCACATCAAAGCATGATCTTCTTGAGGCCTAAGGCCTTCTCTTTTTCACCTCCTGTGGTTTTCCACAGAGGACCTTTGTTTCCCCCTCCCTGGTCTTGCATGCATCTCCTCCATCTCTTGTCCTGACTTGAGTTCACACTTCTGTGCCTGCCAGTTTATATGCTATCCCCTGCCTTCCAATGGAGCCTCTTCCCATCTATCCCCTCAGATGCTATTTGCTATTAGCATATACTAATTATATATAATAATAGTAATTATTAACCTGTGTCCCTGGTCTTGCCCATTTTATAGAAATTCAGATCTGAAAAGGGCTTCAGTAATAAGCTGTGTACCCGACAGTGTTCTGAACAAGGTACATGTGCACATATGTGTATACACATAAATGTAACAACAGCCATATTTAAGTGTATAACTCTTAGCCCATTTTATAAATGTGAGGTCAAAAGAGAATAAATAATGTGTGAGGTGAGGAACCTAGGCAAGAAGGATATTTTTTTTTCCCTTTCAATCATGATAACATACCACATTTGGAAATTAAATCTCTTATTTTATGGACAGACAGGTCAGGTGTTCTTTCACTACCACTAAATATCATTCTGTTTGGGCCTGCTAGGTCGACAGACTAAAACTTCACAGAAAAGCAACACCGTCCCTCTTAGAATGACTTCTCTGCACTCTGGACAGGTCTCCTAGTACTCCTAGGCTGGTCTCACATGTACACCATAGTCCTCTGCATGGCATGGTTCTGTGCATCTGTAGTTTCAACTACTAGACAGTCAGTTCCATCCATATGTATTTGAAAAAGAAGTATTTTATTTCTTAGCATATATTTACTCACAGTAGAATTCCTTCTTTTTTCTTTGTTTATTACTTCTGTAAGGTCAGCAATTTAAATTCTGTCACCCTTGTCCCCCTGAGTTAATCCTACTAAATGCATGCTGATTTTCTTGGTATTTTTACAGAATTAACTTTTTGTTTCAACAGCATTGCTAATGTATCATTTTCCCTCTATTTTTTTGATCTTTTGATTTGAACTGCTCCTCCCCCCCCCACTCTGTATACCATAGATATAGTTCATTTTCTAGCCAGCTAGGCTAGCTTTAAACTCATGGTAATTCTCCTGTCTTAGCCTGCTTGACTGTTAAGACTCCAAGCTGAGCCACCAGCCAGCTTCCCCCAGCATCTTGGTGACCCTGCGAACCCTGTTCTTACTGAGCACACACTCACTGATGGCTGAGTTTTCCCTCTATGATAAACCATATCAACTCTACTGTTTAAGTTCTAGTATGCTATATTTTCTTACTCATTTCTAAGAAATTTCTGGTTCCAGTTATGTTTTCCCCTTTGGTCCACTGTCTCCTGGAGAAGGGTTTTTTTTTCCCCCCACAAATTTACTTAATTTCCCCATTTTGTGTGTGTGTTACTGATTTGACCTTTATTCTGTGGAGACTGACAAACACACTTAATAGATGCTCTGTGTACTCAGGAAAGATATATACTTTGTTGCTGGAAAGCTGATTTCAGATGTTTGGTTTATTGTATTACTTAGGTCTCCTCCCTAACTCTCTGCCTTGTTATTAGCAGGTATAAGTACTGAAATTTCAAATCATTACTGTTATTTTTTTTGTTTTCCCTTCCCTTGAATCAATTTTTCCTTGATGCAGTTTGGTGTTCTTTCATTAGTATATTTATAATTGTCTTATCTTCCTAAATTGGCCTATAAAAAAAATCATAAAATGTCTTCCTTTCCACTAGTAAACTGTATTTTACTTTAACTCTGACCAACAGACTCACAAAGATGCATAAAGACACAGAATATACATTTTACATAAACAATAAATGAAGCATAGTATGACTCTAGGGAGAGCTTCCAAACCTTCTTTTCCTTTCTGATTTAGTCTTGGATTTATCACTTTATATAATTCATACATCTACGTTAGTTATCCTTATATTTTATTTTCACTTGAGAACTCAAATTTGGCTGGATACCTTAGTAGACTAAATTATTTGTCACTAAAGTATTATATCTTCATGTTAAATAAAAAAACTGAAGTGGCTTGAGTTTCATTTAGAACCTACTTTAAGATTTTCCATCTCCTGTACTTAGTTCTGCATGTATTAGTTCTGGAGCTAAAAATACATGCTGGAACAGGTCAACAGGAGGAATCTCCATGTGGTTTGCTTTCCAAAGTAAAGTATCAAGAAGAAAACATTTAAGCTTCCTCAAGTCTTGTAACTCTTGAAGAAGAGTTTCTCGTGAAGAGAAATATAGGGACCAGTAACATTTTGCTTCAAAAGGTAAATAAATACATTTGAGATTAAAAAAGGAACTAGAGGAGGAAGAGGAGGGCAGGGGAATTCAAACTTGGGAGATGAGATAGCTCTATTGGTAAAGATGCTTGCCAAGCAAGCCTTGTAGGCTGTGTCTTATATTCCTAGACGCCAAGATGAAAAAAAAAAAGCCAACTCCTGAGGGTTGTCCTTTGATCTCCACACATGTGCACGAGCACATGCACACTCTACACTATTAAAAAAATCCAAACTTTTTTCAGTTTGTTCCAAGCTGGCTTTAAACTCAGTCTTCCTATCTTAGTCTCATATGCAACAACACACACACACACACATACAAACTTAGGTCAACTGACAAAGTCATAAATATATTTGGCCTCAGAATCACAATATAGCCATTTTATAGCCTTGTTTTCATTAGGACTTTTCCTTTGACATAAGAGGCTGGTATATTAAATATGTTAGGGTACTTCCTTCCTCTTCCTCCTTTTCTGTTTTTGGGTTTTTGAGACAATGTTTCTCTGTGTAGCCCTGGCTGTCCTGGAACTCCCCTGTAGATCAGGCTGGCCTCAAACTCAGAAATCCGCCTGCCTTCTGAGTGCTGGGATTATCTTATACTATCATTGCCTGCCTTCCTTCCTTCCTTCCTTCTTCCCTCCCTCCC